TTTTTTTTTTTTTTTTTTTTTTTTTTTTTTTTTTTTTTTTTTTTTTTTTTTTTTTTTTTTTTCCCTTGAAATATACGTATCTCGGTTCATCCTTAGTCACTCCGTGGTTTACCTTAAGGATTGTAGTCTCGGTCACGTTAATTTTGGTCGATGCGAATTTTTGATTTTTGAGATGAAATTTGGAAAAAAATTTTTTTTTTTTTTTTTTGATAATTACGCGTTACTTAATTAATACGGGTTGCCGGGTATTGGCGTGTATTTTGTATGCGTGCGTTTACGCTGTTTTTGGATTTCGAGCGATATTTAATGTCGACAATTATAATAAGGGAAATTACGTTATTCGGATGCAACATTGTTTCTACCATGGTGATTAGCTATAACAAATCGTATCTAGCGTGCGATTTGTTAATTGAAACTACTCCTAATAGCCTGCCGCGTTAATGCCATGCGTGATTTAATGCTGATTGAGCACCGAGCTTACGGCTACGCGATACCGATAATGACGACGGGATTCTAACGTTGGTAGGCCTACTTTGCGCTTTCGATATATATATATACTGAAACCTATACTGTTACCTGCGTCTTGATTTTAATTAATTACGCGAAGTTTCGTAAACACTCGAGACCATCGTAATTAGCCGATACTAACGATTCATCCTGATTTGTTTATTCGTTAAACAATTCATAGACATCTTTTTATTGAATTCCTTCGATTTCGTCGTAAAATATTATCGTGGCTAGATTATCGGCCCACTCGAGTCATCGGTGTTCCGGAGTGAGTTTGCGCTCTTGCATTTCATGGTCTGTGCTCGATTATTCGTTTATGCGAATCTAGCTATTTATTTGACACTGGACTGTGTACTAGGGAATTGTGTCTGTACGTACGGTACTGTTTTATGTATATATATATATATATATATATATATATATATATATATATATATATATATATATATATATATATATATATATATATATATATATATATATATATATATATATATATATATATATATATATATATATATATATATATATATATATATATATATATATATATATATATATATATATATATATATATATATATATATATCGGAGCAGTTCAGACCTAAAAGAGCAATACGCGCCACTGTACAAAGTTCCTAGGCACCGTCCACCCTTTTCCCTTCCTTCGATCCAATCGTTCTCAACTACCGTGCACGTGGTAGACGCTATCGTCAATCGCCAAGCTCAAAACCATTATATTACTTTCGTGAAAGATGCCAACGCGTTTTAAGTCCTTTGGTATACTATATACCTGTAATCATATATATACATATATATTTGTACTACGTGTCTTCTTCATACAACGGATCCTTCGTACGCACCATTGCACACGCACTTGGATCGAGCACGCTTGCCTCGTGCTATCATCGAGTCATCGTCGTCATCGTCATCCTCCTCCTCCACCTTCTCCTCCTTTCCTTGATACATCTGGTGGGAACTGGGTCTTATGTTTATGACGCACAGGCCACATACGTTGGTTGTGCAAAATCTCGTTTTGATACATTATCTCTTTGCGGAAATCTGAGAAAAATCTTTTTTTTTTTTTTTTTTTTTAATTTTTACTCGGTGACAGTTGGCAACCGTGTTAGATTCTGCGCGATAGGAGGTTTGTGCTTCATTTAATTGGAGTAAGGAGAGAGGGGGAGGATTTTATATGGCAATTGTTTTTTTTCTCTTTTTGTAATTGTTAATTTAAAAAATTTTTTTTACGTCGAGAGGACCGCCATTTTTTTTTTTAATTGTTTTTTTTTCAGTACTTATGATCGATCATTTATACACATATGTTACCTGTAGTGTCTGGCTTTAAGGTTCGCCATTCAGGAACGCCGGTTGCTCGCTATTTTCGACAAAAACTTGATTTATCCTTCTAGATCGCGGTACGCATGGGCGTCGCGACGGCTGTACGTTCCGCGAAACCTCGCGGAAACCGTTAATCCCCCTCGAGTTTCTAGTATGCCGCGAGGTATATCTGCCATTTAGCGATTTCGCGATGTCGCTCGGCCTTCGTCGTTAATGCACAGCGAGTAGCACAAAGTATAGAGATACGTATAAAATACAGAGCACCGGTAAGGAGAATGATTTTTGCTATTACTTTTTATTCGTCTCTACCTTACCGACCTGCCGACTACGGTCGGACTCTCGTGACGTTGAATGGACAGTCGGCAGGGATACATTTCTAAAGTCTTTAATTAAAGTCCAGTCTTCAATTACAATCGCGTTTCTTGCGCGCGTCCTGCGTGCAAATGGCAAACGATAGACTGTGCTGAAAATCATTTTATCGCATCTCAAGTATCCCTTCTGAATTTGTCCTTGGACCGATTTTCTCGCAGATTTCGAAAAACGTATCGATTTTTAAAAAATCGGTTTATCATCGATTCCCAACAAATTTTTTAGTTGTCTGTGCTCTATGGGCATATAACGTCCTACACGTTAATTGTCAGTCCTCTATATTTATATATATATATATATATATATCCGTACTTAACTATGAGGACGCTACATACGTGACGTAGTACCTGCGCAATTCGTTCTGCGCAGCCTACGAGCACAGTCACTTTCGCAGATTGAAAACGACCTTTTGAACTTGACTTCTTGGCTTCCCAGCATCGACTGCATGTACCTGCGTAGTATCGGACCGCCTCAATGTCTCGTCTTTCTATGTAACTACACGTGACCTATAGCTATAGCTACCCTTTTACCCACTATAGCTATCTGCTCGCCTATGGTACACGAGGAATACTATGGTACGATTTGGTGCTGGCTGGGCTGACCGTTGTGCGAATTCTACTTGGCTTTGCTGGAGGTCAGGTTAGGTACTTAGCCACCGACACGAACGCGGGTCGAATCATCCGAGCGAACCATGTGAACCACGTGAGGCGTCAGACTTCTGATGACTGGTGCTCTCTCTTCTTCTGTTACGAATGACCCCGTCTTGGTACCGCTAATCCATCGGTACATAGTTCGGTATTCATCGTTGGCAGCTTCTATGGGATGCTGTAACGAAGTCAGTTGTTTTTACGGATTGAGAAATTACGGGCTTTTATGTACATACGTACGTATATACGTACACGGGTTGAATTTTATGGTAGTTTTACGTACTCGAGAAAATTTTCAAAAACGCTCCTTCAACTTTCTCTCCGAACGCCCGTAACGACGATGGCAGGAATAAAGGATAGTTGTGACGATGGATCACGTGGAAAATCGTGCTAATAATTACACTGAAATCTGGAACGGTTTCGCTCTCGCTAATGCGCAACAATTTGCCGGATTTTATTACGAACTTTCGACTCGTTACTTGCTACGGCAACGAAACGGACGTAAGCTCTGTTCTTAAGTGGAATGTAATTGCAATTGCACCTTTAAAACTTTTCACGGGGTTTCCGGTTTTTTTTTTTTTTTTTTTTTTTTTTTCCCCTTACGTATTTGCAACAGTCGCGTGTGCCGGTTGTCGCTGCTGGTATTACGTGTTATTTCTTTAACGATAAGAATTATTATGGCTCGATAATAGGAATCGCTTTGGTTCGTACAAAATCTGGTAGTAAGACCAATAATAAAACCAATATATATATATATATATTTTTTTTTTGAATAATTCCCATCATCTTCCAGAACACGGATGTACCTTATTTTACCTGCATAAATAATTCGTATATTCTTAATTGGCTCTCGAATTTGTATTTGCATGCTGGATTATCCATTGCGATTCAAATCTCGACACGAATTCAATTAACGTCGACCGGTAACGATCGTCTCGCGCATAAATCGGAAGTAACGAATGTCCGATCGGCAGACACGGAGATCAATAATCCGTCGATCGGGTCTGCGATGCATCGGAAAGTGTACGAAAAAATCGTGACGTCACTGAAAAATATTTTTCCACGATTTATTATTATTATATAAATCTGTACGTATAGTTACTTAATTTTTTTTTTTGTAATTTTTCAGACGAACATGCACGCGTCGTTTCCATACGACGGCGGCCGCAGCAGCGGGGGCGGGGGTGGGGGCGGCGGCGGCGGAGGTCGCGGCGTCGAGTACGGCGCCGTCCGGCGTCCCGACGCTCTTCTACCACCTCCCGGTCTCGACCAAACCGATTTAGTCCTGCACACAAGTCTCGTCGACGACCCCCAGGTGAGCGACGATGTACGTAATCACAATTCACTTTCATATTATCGTTTTCTATTAGCCCTAGTTCTTATCAGGGACATAGATAAGGCCCTATACGTCACGCGTATCGCGTGCGAGTCTTCCTTGACCCTACCAGCTCACAGGTTAAATTTATATTATTTTCAAACCGCACGACTGTACGAAGGTCGTATCGGTCCCCGTTTAAAGTCCGAGGGACGAAAATTCCGAAAGGTCAACTTTAAGGGTTGATCGATACTGAAATTTTTGTCTGAACTTTTTAAGAGAGTTTTTACCCAGGAATTCAGTCTCGCAACCGTAACCCAGCTGTCTCATTGACGTGGCACCTGTACAGTGGTATATCTATATGTGTGTGGATAAAAAAGAACAAAGAGACTCCGCCGTGAGCCAAACGGTAAGCGGGGAGTCCGGCAGTGTCAAAGCAATCGGTACGGAGGTACAAAGCCCCGGCCGATCCTTTCGATCTCGTTTCCCAGGCGTCCGAACGTCCGCGACCTGCTTTTAAATCTTTTTAACGCGTCACCTGTCATCGGGGAAGTCCCGTTCGATAATGCCGCGACTACCAAGCACACCCGGCACCGTGTAATTGGCTTTTGCCAATATCTTCGCTCCATCGACGTCTTATGGAACATTAATAATTAAAACGAATGACAATTCGTACGTCATTATAGTCAACTTTGTAATAGGCTGCGACGGTTGGACCTATGGTACGTCATACATGTGGGTATATGTGTATACATGCACTAGAGACACCTCCCAGGTGTACCGAAACTCCTCGTTCTCTTATACCCGGTGGGATGCTTGTATTCGACCTCGAAGTCAATTTTGCAATAGAAATCTCGTTAGCGACGAGGACTTATCGAGCCTTTGTGCACGTTTGCCAATGAAAAGATCGACTTTCGCAATGTACAGAAGAATTCGGGCCTTTTGCACTTGCAAATCGAAATCTGCTCTCACCCAACTGGACATCGGTTTAATAAACTTTCGTGTGAGACGTTGCGCTTAATTTTTTTACTTTTTCCTTCCTTATCGCGCCTTCCCAATGGATTCCCAATGGAATCGCGTCCCGAATCGTGCCAATTTTATTTTTACGGCACCGCTCGCGAATTTATCGCTGCGAATCGAATTTTTTTCTCTCTCCTCGAAATGACTGCTCGTTGGTAACTCGTAAAATTCTCTAAGACGACATCATCGTCGTTGTAATAATAATAATGATAATCACACCGTAACAAGATCCAATTCAATCGAAACTTTTAAACTGTTCAGCGGTCAAAGGCTGACGCGACGGGCCTCGGCTAATTTCACGGATTTTAAAGTGATACGAAGTGTGGATAAGATCTAATAAAAAATTCACTTTCCCTCTGGACGATATAGAGGCAATATATATATATATATATATATATATATATATATATATATATAGGTAATACGTACAACAGGGAATCGAAAGTTTTTCACCTCGATTTATAATTTGCTAGGATATATTAATGGGGAAGATTGGATTTTATTTGAAAAAAATTTATTTGCAAAAAATTTGCCTCGTGTACGCATCCAATCAATGGACAATTGGCGATAAAAATCAGCTGGCAGTCTTTTTGCTATAGTAAGTCATTGAAAGAATCGACGCTGGTACCGTTCACCAGGTCACGGAGAACGAACAACCGACTGGCAATTATTCCTTCAGCACACTCGCTTTTCGGCAGAGTCATTCACGAACGATAATTAAACTCTTAATCTGTTTTAAATTATGACGAGCCCGGGGAACCAGCCGGTGAAATCGGTCCGAACCGAAACTCACATACGGGATACCAAATGAGATTTCGCATGTCGCTCAATCAAGGGAACGCACTGAATTTTTTTATTCCGAACCGCAGAAAGAGAGAAGAATAAAAGAAGAGCGATAACAATGAGAGGAGTGAAGCATGAAAAAACAAATTATACCTGAAAAGTTTTTGCCAAGGGAACGCACTGAATTTTTTTATTCCGAACCGCAGAAAGAGAGAAGAATAAAAGAAGAGCGATAACAATGAGAGGAGTGAAGCATGAAAAAACAAATTATACCTGAAATTTTTTTTTTTTTTTTTTTTTTTTTTTTTTTTTTTTTTTTTTCCCCCAGTAAAAAAGTAATTTTAATTTGCATTCGTTGCTTCGATAATAATTTTTCTTCCACGTAAGATTACCATTCACCGATTACTTCGATACTTTGAATCCTTTTTTGTAAACCCATAAGTACACTCGAATACGTACAAGAAGAGGCGGCCATTAAAATCGATTTTGTAACGAAAAAAAAAAAAAAATTGTATTGTTTACTTGTACATAATATTTACCATATAACGTACAAGTACCATCCACTTGGTATGTTCCATTGTCCGAAAGGCACGCGTCTAAAGACGAGACCAATTCGAGCGTAACTGGTCTCGGTTCACGTTCTGCCTGAGCATCGAAGCGATTCTTCTATGCGAGTGAAAAGGCAAAAAAAAACCAGATAAGAAAAGAAAAGGATTGTAGATACTATAAAACCAGATGATAAAACCACACGAAAAGAGGAGCCTCGTAATAGCAGCGCCCGTCGTTAACGAGTCCCACGTTTTTGGACGTCGTGCTATGTTTTGTTCGGGTTCGGTAAATTTCTGTGTCATCGGCGGAATCCCCGTGTTATAGAAGTCATCGTCGTTAACCAATGGGATCGACCCGTAATGCCAGTCGATCGACTTGGACGATAAATATTATGAAAGAATTGTACATTTTTTTTTTTTTTTTTCTTTCATCACCGTACTCTTACAATCAAATCAATTTATTTTCTACCATTTAACCCAGTCGTACACGAGTAACGTTTCGCGGGTCTCGCGATGGTCGCGCCGCTGACTTTGACACACGAAAATACTTTTGCTGGACGTTTACGTTGTCGCGCATAGTTCAGCACGGTAGCCTTGTTACACGTGAAATACAGTTGGAATTTAAACGAACACGTGGACGCAAATGTCTGCTGCCACGCTTACCGAGTGGTCGGCCGTATACGTATGTAGGTTGGTATGCCTGTACGTTGGGCTAGTAATGTTTTGTTTCTCTAAAGAAACTAAAATTGCGTATCGTACACGTGTAGCGAGTTTTTTTTTTGGCGGTAAAATTTGAATTTTTTTCTTTCTTGCCGTGACCATTCCTCCATCGGTTGTACTCGATGACGTTTTCGAGGCTTTTACCGAACCTCGGCCAAAGGACTCTCATTTATTCGCGGCGAGTCATCGTAATTACTACGGTCGAATGTATCTGCCGCGTGCGTCTCTCCGGTGGTGAGAGTGAGTGAGAGGGATGGTGAATTGTATGAGAATAAAAGTAAAAGAGGCAAAGGAGCCAGAAATGCCTCGCGGCACGTTTGAGGGACGCATTGATGGACTAACGGATTTCTTATAATCATTTTCTGTTTTCGACTACTTGCCTTTCTTACTTGACAACTCTAATTCATACTTTTTCTTTGCCTTTAATACCCCCAGTGACACACGTAGTTACCGAGCGTGGGATATGATTCGCGGTATAAATTCGCACTACGCCAATGGTGCCCTTTCGATATATCGAACTGAGTGTGCGTAGTCGTAACCATCGGGTAATCGTGTCAGAAACCTAAAATATGTCGTGTTTGAAAAGCTGAAAAAAAAATTCAATATATCGGAAACTTTGACCATCCAGGGGGGGGGGTATGGACTTCGTATATTAAAGGATGTAGAAGGCAGGCGGAGGCTGGAGGGACGAGAGCGAGCTCTTCGGTCAGCGATATTATTACTCTAGGATATTATAATATCGCGAAGAATTTAATTTGAATACTTTTGGCTATCGTAATTCCGCAATCTCGAAATTCACTCTAAATCAATCTTACCCTGATGCTACATACTTGTACAATCATATATATATATATATATAATGTCTGGTAAAATCAATATCTGTACCTATGAAGTAAGTTATGGGATATGTGTATATATATATATGTAAGTTTCACTCGTAGAGAAAATTAATGACACCCGCACGATACTTATTAATCATTCGTTAATATTTCTGTACTTTCTAAATAATATTGATTTTGCCTCGTTACAGAACACAAACGTGGACGACGGAGGATTCATGAATGATCTGCCTCTTCTGAAAAGTGAGTAGAGCCCACGTGGCTTTTGTTTGTATTACTACGTAAGATTTCGAAAAATTTTTTTTACAACGATTCAACCGAGTGATTTGCATTTTCGTATGATCGTTTTGCGAGAAGGAAATATTGGGTTTTTTTTTTTTTTTTTTTTTTTTTTTTTTTTTTTTTTTTTTTTTTTTTTTTTTTTTTTTTTTTTTTTTTTTGGAAAAATGATACCCGGGTAATTGTAACGTCTGAAAGTGGGTTAAGAGCTCGGCAATAATATTTTAAAGCAGCGGAGTACTGTGTCGGTCGGTTGTATTGGCAGCAGTGAAGAAAATAATTTCGCGATCATCTACCTTTCGATAGTAACGATCAAACGCAGATATTCGATATGGCTGTCAAATAAATTTTGAAACGTCAAACTTTTGATATCGCCGGATCCCGGGACACGTGTATAAAATGCCTTTGATATCACCCGAACGACTAGAATATCAAAAGTACCCGTTAGCCAAATGGAAGATCGATCGGAATCGAAACAGTCATTAACATTCAAAAGTCAGAGTCAAGATCGACGACCCGAAGGGACAAATAAGCTATTAGTATACAAAAGAGCATAAGACAGGACAACAGTTAAGAGCTAAAGATAAAAGAAAATTCCAATCGAGATGAATGATAGAAATTTTTTTTAATTTTTCAAACAAAAAAATTTCCAAAAAATCCCCCCCAACAAAAATACTCAAAATCTCTCAGGGTGCACAGTGGAAGATTACCTGCTTATTAAGGAACAATGATTTTGGGTCCGAGTATTTCGATCCTGCTACTCTGTCCTCCCCCCCCTTTCCCCCCTCC